ATAACACCATTTACATGCTATAAAAAAATATACTTCAAAATTTTTAAAATAATTGTCCTAAAGTAGAGACTTAAACGTCCCAAAGTTGACTCTTACCAAATTAGTGAATTTTTGATAGTTAAAATATAACTACCTATTTTTTTGCTTATAAGTGTGAAGCCATATATTATTATTTCGAACTTTTTAAAAACAATATCAGATATATATGTTTTAAGGGTGTTTGACTATAAATTTGGGTTTACATAAAATGTAATTAGTTTTTAAGATTATATAATTTTAAAATTTATAAAATGTAATTATTATTTAAGATTATATAATTTTAAAAAATTTGATGATATTATTAACTATGTTGTATATTTTTAAGAGATTTGTGTAAAACTTATAAATCCAGTGTTATTCAAACATGAATTTTAAAAAGTCTCATCAAATCCACTGTTATTGAACTAATGATTTCAAAATCCACCTTAAAATCCACTGTTATTGAAAACAATATGTGGATTTGTTTTAAGAGATAGATATGTTTTAAGGGTGTTTGACTATAAATTTGGGTTTACATAAAATGTAATTAGTTTCTAAGATTATATAATTTTTAAATTTATAAAATGTAATTATTTTTTAAGATTATATAATTTTTAAAAATTTGATGATATTATTAACTATGTTGTATATTTTTAAGAGATTTGTGTAAAACTTATAAATTCAGTGTTATTCAAACATGAATTTTAAAAAGTCTCATCAAATCCACTGTTATTGAACTAATGATTTCAAAATCCACCTTAAAATCCACTGTTATTGAAAACAATATGTGGATTTGGCTTTTAATGATTTTGAAGGATTTCCTTAGTTAAAAATACAGAAATCCAAATCTAATGATTTTTGGTGAGATTTGAAAGGAATTTATAAAAGTCATATGAACTTCCCTAAAATCCTCAAAATCATTTAAAAACTCAATAAAACTCAAATCTCTTAAAATTTCATTTTGAATACCCCTCCCCCCCCCCTAAGTTCTAGAAAAATTTAATAACTGTTTCGATTTATTTTTTTACTATATCAAAATTTGTTAGTTATGGTAGTTACTAAAATATAGAGAAATCAAAATTTCAAATGATTTCTTAATAATGTGTATATTCAAAAGTTAATTAGTGCAGATTTATTACTATGGAGTTATATTAAATTAAATTCTCATTTCCAAAAATATCTATCAAACAAATAACTGATTGTGTATTTATTATTTATAAATGCGGTTGGATTCAATTTGAGAAGATTGCTCCATAATTTAGAATTTTACATTAGTTATTTTTGGAATTTGAAATAAGATAATAAGTATGTATTAAACTTGAAACTTTTATGAGCTATATTTCGTGATAATTAATGGTGATTTTCATATCTATTTTTTGTAATAATGGATATTTTTTTCCAGAAAATATTATGTTTCCTAAAATTATGGATATTTTTATAGTTACCAAACTATCCTTATTATTTTTTATTGTTATAACTAAATGCATATGCTCTACACTTTTTTAATGTATAGTATATGCTTACTTTATTCAAAATGTTTCCCTTTTAATAGTATAGATTCAGAAGTACATTTATAGAATAAACCGGGTAAACAATTACATAAGAATACCATTACATATATATATATATGTTTCAAAGAAAAAATTAATAATATTCATTATCGATAAAAATGTTAAATACTAATTTATATAAGTAATTAAATTATTAAAACAAAATTACGTTTTTAATTTTCAAAAAAACATTAACAATCAAAATGAATATATAAGATTTGATATCTACTTTAACCAATCAAAATGAGTATATAAGATTTGATATCTAATTTATTATATTAAATTATTATTAATTATTATATTTCACCTCTTATCTTTACATGATCTTATATTTGTGAGAAAAATTATTATATCATCAATAACAAAAATGTTTTTGATTTTTTTCCTGCATATGTGATGATTTGAATTTTTAAAAACATATATAAACTGTTTAATTTGTGAATTAAAAATTAACGGGCCAAACATTCAAACTTGAGTAATATATTTCAATAAAATATTTTAATTTAGAAAATTTAAACATAATTTAACTTATATTTTTTGTAAGAATATCATAAATATTTGATAGATTAAATTTTTTTTATAAATACTCTAATTTTTAAACATATGTATTTTAAAAAGGAATTATAGCAAACTGGTTAAATATAGTGTGTTATATGATAGAAAAAGTTATGATATTTGTAACAGATGGCGGGTTAAGATTATATGATGATAAAATTTTTAATAAGGTTTCACACCTTTAGATATTTGAAAATTTGATTATACAAGCAATTTTAAAAATAACGAATGATAGATTATGCAAGCAATTTTACCATTGGGATTTTAACATGAAAACATAGATTCCGAATTATATACCATTTCACTTTTTGGTTGTTAACATAAATAAATTTATTGTTAAAAATAATATTACTTTTCGTTGCTATAACTTTAAATATTGTTTTATCTATCACTGAATATTATATATATAAATATATTCAATTTAATGTTAAACTTTAGCGGTCTGAAAAAACTATTTTAACTTAGGTCTACGTAAATAGGGGGAATTTCAAAAATACCCCTTTTCCAATACCACTTTTTAAAAATACCCCTCTTTATAGTTTTATCAAAAAGTCACTATAAACTTTGAAATTTATCAAAAAATATGTATAAACTTATATTTATAGACACAAATTATCTTTATATGTATGTAAATTTATATATATATATTTCATAAATACCGTATAAATACCTTTTAAAACCTTATAAAAACTTTGTAAACCTTTTAAAAACCTTATAAAACCATATAAATGCCGTTTAGAACCTTTTAAAACCTTATAAATATTTGGATTTAAATTCCCAGTAATAATAATGATCTTGATGTACCTTATCAACCATATAAAAGTTTATAATTTTTCATATTTGAAAATGGGTATTTTTGAAAATTGATAGAAAAGAGGGGTATTTTTAAAAAGGGGTATACCAAAAGGGGTATTTCTCAAAAATTCTCATATATATACCCAAAAGAATAAAAAATAAAGAATCTACCCATGATAATTTTTTATTTAGTTCTCTTTCATCTGACTCAAATTATTGTCAAAAATATCCTTTGTTATTTATATTCATTAACAAAAAACATAACGAGGTAAAAAATTAACAAGGTACAATCACTATTCATCACACAAAAAAAATTGTATTTTTTGGATATTTTATTTAATTAACAATGTAAATTATATTATATCGCGATAAATGATTGTTTATTTGATAAACGTATACTTATCATGTTAAATCATTTGTTTCTCGAGTGATATTAGCTAACAATTTAGTTCTTACATGTTAATTGAAACATTAACATATATATATATATATATATATTTATCATGATATTATAATTATTACATTCAAAATATGTTAACATAAATATATATGTTGCTAATTGAATTGTTATCAATACATCAGAAATTACATCTATAAGAATATGACATTAACTATTGTTGTCGATGATACCCATTCATCTCTTGATCGATTAACCTCATCAAAATATCTGACAAATACGTCAACGAACAATTATGCCGGTATTTGAATACAAAAAAAACTAATGTCATAACTATAAACACTTTAGTCGTATTGCTTTTTTGGATATCATCTCAATTATGACCATCACATAAATATTGTCGCAGTCGGTATCATCATCACCACCACCACGAATAAATCTACCGTTAGCAGTGTCACCTCTTTTTATTCCATTAATCACCATCGTTGGAAATATCATCATCCACATCACCGTTTATTTTTTCAATTTTTCCATCATTTTTTTCACTATTTCTTATGTTTGCTATATTTTTTTCACTTTATATATTTTGTGTTAAATATATAGTTATCTGATAAGATCATATAATATTATTTAAATATATAATTTTATTAATCGCGCTAACTCAGTTATTAGATAACTTATAATTATAAGGTTAAAATTGTCAAGAAAAAGCAAAACTAATTATGAAAAGAACAACGACATATAGTTAATAAACATTTCTTATGGGTACATGGAGTGCTATTTCCCTTTAACTTACTACTATAAAATATAACAAAACTTTACTTTAAAATATAAAATTCAATCCGTGCTATAGCACGGGTTATGATCTAGTGTTTATATATAACAACACCAACATACCTGTATTTCTTATTTGTAAAAAATATGGAAAGAAATCCTGCAATTTAATCCCTTAAAACGCTAACATTTTCCATTTTTCTTTAAAATTTTACAAATATCTTATAGGATCTCATCAAATTTTATCATTCATAATATTTCCTGAAATCACCAATCATTTAAATGAAAAATACGATTCAAATCAACTCAAAACTAGTAAACTCGAGTTATATCTCTTCAAATCTCTTCAAATCTTTAAATTATAAAAAACTGTACAATCTATTTGTTCCGGGAACCGGCCGGGTTACGGTTCATTCAAACTATTTGATCTTGAAAGTAAGGTATATATGGTTTTTGTTATTTTTAGAAGTTAGAACATTTTTATTTTTTATTATACGACACACAATCAAAATTTGGTGTCGTGAACTAGTGATATTTTATTAGTGTTCTTTTGATTTTATTTAAATTTAAAATATTTAGTCACTTTATAGTCATCGTTAGTTTATGTATTTTGTTAAACTTGATATGTTTATTTTTATATTTATAAAACTATAAAATCAAAATATATTTTAAAAAATTAATCAATAGATCTATGGTCAAATCCGGTTAACCTATTGACCCAAAAAGTAGATCGGTTCGGGTTCGAGAACATTGTGTTTATATCATCAAGAAACTAACGATGACACAGTCAATCATTGTTGAATTTTGATTCACGTATAGGGATAGTGTAGTATCTATTTGTTATCAGACTTAGTTAATTACAGTTTAGTCAACCTAATTATAATTTGGTATGATTTGTGTATTTCACCCTGGATCATATGAAATTAGTATTGGTCTTATATGTCAACCGGATAAGTTATTTGATTAGATTATTTCGTATGAGCCTTACAACAACATTGGCCAGTTCTAATATTACATAAACCGAGTAATGTAAGGTTTTTAGTTTGACAAAACATTTGGCATGCCCCATCGTCAAATGAAGGGCTATGACATTCCTCTAGGTAGTAACATGTTCCATAAATAGACGCTTGCTTCATACCAAAACCTAGCAAACAACAATAATCATTTATGTTATGATAAAAGCAAATTTCATACTTAGAAAAAAAAAGAGTGTGATGAGTATGTTAGTACCAGAGATTCTATTGGAGCAATGAACAGAAGATATGGCTAAGAGGATAGTGAGAACAAATGCTATTAACATTTTCTTGCTGATACCCATTTTTTTTTCTTTGATGATTTTGTTTTTGTTCTTGGTTGTTTTTTTTTTATGTACTAGGAAGTATGTTTATATATATAACAACACCAACAAGCCTTAAAGATATCTCTTATTGCTTACCAAAAAAAAAAGATATCTTTTAATTGTAAAGAAATGGAAACAAATCATGCAATTTAATCCCTTTAAGTGCAAAAGTTTTCCTTTTCGGTTTTTTATTTTATTTTAAATATCATTTAAAATCTCATAAAATTTGATTAAAATATCTCCTGAAATCAGCAATCATTTAAAATATAAATTAAATAACCTCAAATATATAACTCCACCCAAATCTATTTAAATGCTACATTTTTCATTTTACCTTTGAACTTTTTTAAATATCATTTAAATCTCATAAAATTTGATTACTAAAAAAATTAAATCATCTCAAATATATTTATTAACTCCACTCCAATTTCCTCAAATCCATTAAAATTATAATTCCACCAAATATTCTAAAATTCCTATTCCAACACACCCCTGTAGGCTGTAGTTTATAAATAAAAGAAAATAAAGAGAAGAATCCTTTAACCCAATTTTGTTTGAACACTAGTAATATTGTGCTATATAGTTAAACATAATTTTTTTCTTCCTAATCTAATATATGCTTTCAGATTGGTCTTAATAATTTTCATGGTAATAGCTGAAATTATTTTTTGTGATAACATGTATAAATATTTTTCATTTTATCTTTAATTAATATATTTCCAAATTTTTTATTTAAGCAAAATTTTAAAATTATAATAAATAGTTAAAAATTCTATTTAATGTATTCCTTCATAAAAAAGACAGATGTCTCTCTCTCCTTTTGTGGAAACATTATCTTTTAAGATCATAAGAGTGAGACACCTCATTTAAAACAAAGTTCAATCAAAACATAACAAATAACTAGGTTTAATTTGAACAATTTTTGTTTGATATAATCTTTGATAAAATCATATTAGTCTATTTGTCTTTAACTTCACATCATTTGGTGTATTTGCTTCTTCTTAGTCTCTGCCCTTTCACATGATTATATTGTGATGTGTTCTCTATATTAAATCTAAAATAGCTTGCATGCATAAAAAGAGAGACAATTCAAGTTTTCACCGAGGTACAATTACTTTCATGTGTTTTGTATAAAGACATTTTACTTTAGATATATATACGTCCATAGGAAAAGGCCGGAGTTAGAGTCACATCCCAAACCCTTAACCTAAAATTTTAATTAGGAATGCAAAAAGCTCACTCAATCATGTCTAGCTCGATGGAGAAGCATAAAGGTTTTTAGTATTCGTCTTAATATTATCAAGACATTAGTGACACAGTATCCGATTTGAAGAGGAATGGTTAACCAAAGATATGACAAGAAACAGTCATTGATTCATTTCGATTCACATGATTAGAATGAGAATTATAATTTCGAAGTAATCAAACTAAATTTTAATTTGCTATGATCTTTTTTTTTTTATTGATGATCAAAACCATAAGAAACCAATGGTCTTATTTGTTAACCAGATACATTTTTTGGTTAGATTAGTTAAGTCTTAGACCTACAACAACACTGGCCTGTCGTAGTATCACATTTACCATATAATAAAAAGCTTTTAGCTCCACAAAACCTCTCGCATGCAGCATCGTCAAATTTGGGTTTTTGACACTCCTTTAGGTCGTAACATTTTGTATATTCTTGCTTTATACCAAAACCTATAAAACAATAACCATTAATAACATTAATTTAGCAAATGCATACATAGACAAAAAAACTGTGACAAGTATGATGATAGCAAACTAATATACCAAAGGTTCTATCAGAGCAACGAACAGAAGATATGGCTAAGAAGATAGTGAGAACAAATGCGATTAACATTTTCTTGCTGATACCCATATTTTTTTCTTTTATGATTTTGTTTTTGTGTTTTTGGATGTTTATGTTGATGTACTCCATATGTATGTTCTATATATATAATAACACCAACATCCCTAAAAGGTGTTTTAATTTTGTAAACAAAAAGGAAACAAATCATGCAATATAATTTCTTTTTATCATAGTCAAAAGAACAATAAAGAGAATGATTTTCTTACCTAATTACATTTGAACAACGTATAATAATATTTATTGTTTTACACATATTTAAAATTAAAACATATAACTGTTTTTCCAACATTAATTTCTTTTAATTATTTTAAATTAGAGATCTTACTAATTTGAATGGTCATAACTTATAGCTTGATATTACATATAGGGATTTGTTAAATTTCCTTACTTAAATTCCAAGAAATTTGATTTAGTTAATTCAAAATTTGGATAATATTTTTTACATTATATTTATTCCTTTTTATACGTATAACATCCAACTTTTTTGTTAAAATAAAAATCCATAATTGATTTAAAATATTATCTACAATTTATTTATTGTTTTGAAAATAAAATAAAAAAAGAATATTGAAAATATCTTACAATTGATTTCCTTAGTTCGTGTAAGGCGCCTAAAAATATTTTATACAGTATAACATCCAATTTTTTTTTTTGTTAAAATACAAAATAAAAAATCTACAATTGATTTTAAAAATATATACAATTGATTTAAAAGAATATCTACGCTATATTTATTATTGAAAATAAAATAAAAGAAGAATATTGAAAATATCTTACAATTGATTTCCTTAATTAGCTCGTGTTAAAGATCCTAAAAATATCTTGTGCCTTTTTTCATTCTTAGTTTTGGTGTCAAAGTTGTTGAGTCTTAGAAATACATTACGTCCAATATAATAAGTCTCATCATTAAATCAGAAACATACAAGTAATGAAAGAGAAGATCAACCACAACGAAACTTGTCTACCAAGCAAGTGTGATCTTCTCTATCAATCATCGATAGACGAATTCAAATGTGGTTTGTTTGGGAGTCTTTGGCCACGCACAAAGCTACTGAACATATGTAAACCTCGTGAGGGCTGAGCATACGACACCATATGAGCCGCTCCTCTTACAGTTGCAAATGTCAGTATATTACCATACTCTGTGACCCAGCCACCAACCTAGTAACAATCCCAACACATTCACAAGTTACTACTCAGTATTGAAAACCTTAGCATTGTTTAATGGTGAAGGTACCTGTTCTTTGTAGAACCAAGCTGCATAGGGAACTGTGGTCTTGAAGTTGAGATCATGAGCAAGTTCTCTTACCAGAGTTCTTGAACTTTGAAGTGGAATAACAGAATCTTGATCTCCACTGCAATTTCAACAACCTTGAGATTTAGTTGCAAAATACAAGAAAAGAAGAATATGAAGATATATCTTTAATTGGATTCATGCCTGAAGATCCAAACAGGAGTTTGGTTCTGTATAATTCTCTTGAGAATCGGAAGCATGTCGATATACCCGTCGATGCCACTGTAGTTCAACCGGCTGTGACATAGTGGCAATAGCAATTAGTTAGCTTTCTTTTTTGTGATAAATGAAAATGAAAGAGAGCTCTTACTTGCTGCACATAGTCCACTCATAAGGTAGGCGAGTGCGGTTAGCGTTAAGTGCTCTTTGTACCTCTGGGAGGTTAAAGTACAGACTTCTTTCGTATGTTATACAAACGTCCACTCCCATGCTCATCTTAGTAGCCTGAAACCATTTTTTCATAAATTTTCAAACATGGTTTATTTGTTGGAAAATGAAAAGGGGCTAACCATTTTCTTGAGCCTCAGCTCTTGCTGGACAATAGACGGGTAGCATATATCGAGAAGAACATGATAACTGTTGATATACTCAGTGAGGACGCTGGATTCAACGATAGCATCTATACATGCATTGCTCATGTTCTTGGGATTGGAAAAGTCACACTGGCTCATGATTGTGAGTCTCACTTCATCAGAAATCATGCCACGCGACCAGAAGAACTCGTATGCAGCTGCAACGTCCCTGTCAAGCTTCAGAAGTGGATTCCCAATCTGATCATAAAGAAAAGAAATCACACAATGGAATCACAAGAAAGCCAAAAGGGTTGATGAAACGTCAAGAAGATGGTTATTTTGCTTACTGCAATGCCTTTGATGTTGAATTTAAACCCACTTGAACGTGAATTGTAGGCAAGTATCACTTCAGCCAACTGAGGTATGTAATGTCCTGCGAGAAAATGAAGTCAAATCCTTGTTACACATAAGGAGAATCACCATAGACAAGCAAATACTAAGGAAATTAAATTAAACTAAAAGTATTGCATCAAGAACTGCAAAATTATGGTTCTAATAACCATTCCTTAAACTAAGAATCAGAAGAACCGAAGACAAACCTGCGTAGCTTTCTCCCATGAGAAAGAGTTCGCGAGACTTCAACTCTGGAAACCTCTTAAACCATCTCAACAAGAACACAAGCATATCATTAGCTGTTCAAATACAAAAAAACATGTCAGGAAACAACAGTCTTCTAATATAGTTTGGAAAAATGCAACTTAGATTTTTACCAGTAGACTTGTCCCCGGTGTTGTAATCCGAACTTCTGTTCGAATATGACCATCCTACTCCCGCTGGTGACTCAACAAATAGCAGATTCGAGGCTACATATTTCAAAACAAGAGACAACATCATACAAATTTAGAATCACAAAGCTCTTTGTTGTTTCTATAAAATTATCAAAACAACAAACCTTTGTTCCATGACATGGAATTAACGCGCAGGCCACGACCATCGCCTGTGGGATAAAATGGGCCTAACTCGGTAAAAGCTCCTCCACCAACTGATGAACAACCTGGACCTGCAATACAAAGCTCTCAAATATTAAGTTTATTTCTCACAAAAGTATGAATTATACAAAAACAGAGAAACAAAACAGAGACCTCCATTGAGCCAAAGTGTTAAGGGCTTAGTTTCAGGTTCCTTTACAGCTTCAACGTAGTAGTAAAAAAGACTACGACCATTCTCCGAGTCCACATTGACATATCCTGCAAATTGTCTGAACCCGACCTTCGGTTGACCAGGCAACCTCGCCACCAAATCGTCTTCTGGATAACCTTCTGCGAAACTACAAGTATACACCACTGTGACCAATGCCACCATAATTGTCACTACAACAGTCTTGAATAATATCATGATCTGAAACATGTCAAAATACAAATCAACAAGTTCTAAGTTAAGTTCAATCTCACTGAATCTTATAACAGTTTAGGAGCATAAACCACAACAAGAAGACAATAGATGTTGTGTGTCTACTAGTTGTTCCAAACTCTTTCACCCACTTACATAACACTTTTGTACTCTATAGTTTCGTGAGCTTTGGTTCTTCAGATTATAGCTAGTAAACACAAATTTTTAAGAACTATTACTAACAAAATTACTATGCATAACAAAAATGTTTGTCATAGAAGTAGATCTTATGAAAACTATAGATTATAAAAGATGACAATATTGTGAACTCACCAAAATCTTGAAATTGAGATCTTAAAGGACTCAGACCGTTTCCTGCAACACCAAACTAAAAAGAGTAACTAAAATATAAACAATGAGAACCAAAATTCACAAAATTGTTTTTTTAATCATAAGCTTATAAACTTCTTTGAGACCACTTGTAAACTATTTTTTTTTTTAAAACTTACTTTGTTTCTTGTTTCAAGTTAAAGGCAACGGTGAAGAATAAGTGAGTAAAGTCTATATGATTGGAGGAAAACTCTAATCGGACAGGAACAAAGTGTTTACTTTAGTTTAACAATGAGTCAGCAAGTTTGTCGTTTTCTTATTTTGGAGGGTGTATTGAAACAAAGATTTGAGAGGAGTTTGTGAGATTTTGGAAATATTAGATTTTTACGAGAATTTAAAGATTATTTTGGTGGGAATTGTATGTTCTTTTTTAATTTTAAGAAAAAAGAAAAACAGATTTGGATTGGTGTGATTTAAAGAAAACGTTTAGGGTGATTTTGAGAGATTTGTAGAACATAAAAAGGAAAAGTTAGGCTTACTCACAATCTCACATCATCCATCATACCTTTATCAAAACACACAAAAGAAAACACCATTGCCATGTAAAAATTGGTTCAATGGATATAAAATTTTGGAGAGATTGGAGATACAAATCATAGGGAATCTCTAAGTGTTCGTTGATGCTATGATCTGAATCTGATCAAATGAAAAAGTTTCAATTTCTTAGGCATATACAAGTTGAGTTCCTTTGGAAGAGACTTTGGTAGACAGTTAAACATTCAAGTGCTTCCTTTTGAAATCTTTAAAATCTAATTTGTAAATATTCAGAGTTTCTATACATCTGAAGACTACATTTTAAAATGATAGCAAGGAAAGCCCGATTATTCAAAGGCTTCTCTATATATATATATGAATTATAGCGTACCACACTTTAGCTTTAGATATATTCATACTTACGTTCCATCTTTCACACATTATTAAGATGCGTAGGTATCGGGCTCCCAATATATATATATATATTTAAGTTTCAAAATTTTGTGACAATAATATTTATATATTTAAAGCTAAAGTAGGTATCAGGCTCCCAATAAATATATATATATATTTAAGTTTCAAATTTAGGCCCATAATAAATTGTAAACATAGGCCCCATTTTTGGAAATTTTTAAGATTTTGTCTCAATTTTTTAACTTTTATTTATTTTGATTGCAAAAACAGGCCTCATTTCCTAAAATATTAAGATTTAGTCTCAATAATTATAATTTTATCTTCAAATATATCCAAAAAAAATTTGTTTTGTTTTTGGCCCCAAATTTGACAGGATTGACTATGTTCATACTAGTGTTGAATTTGCATCATAAGTAAGATTGAATTTAAGCAACATCTGTAGAGGAGTCTTTATGACCAGTCTATACTTTCATTTCACATGCATATTCAATGCATGGTAAAATAGCAATGTCAATAGTATTTTGCTAGATCAATATAAGAAGTATTACACAACACTACTTATGTGCTCACATGTCAACATGTAGAGTTGACCTCGAAAGCTCCCTTTGTGAAATACACACAGCTAGAATTATGTATATTGTTTATTATATGGGAATTAATCTATAATATTTATAATTTATTTAATAAATCCTTATCAATTTTTTCTCCATATTAAACTTTCAAGTCTTAAATTATTAAAATTTATAAAACCTGAGAAAATACTAGTTTACTGGTTTTATATACAGGGGCGGACAGTGGCGGACCCAGAATTTATTTTAACCGGGGTCAATAAGAGTGAATTACATGAAGACCCAAATGTTTTCATCTACACATACTTTCAGTATTAGGTGTACTTTTTGTCTTTTTTTCTTTCTTGTGCATATTTTTATGACGATATTAACCCTGAATTTGATAAAAAAATATAAGATAGTTGATGTGTGTATGCGTTGACAGAGGAAGGAATTAATGGATTTATGGTTACATATATTTTTAGTTTCTCTGTCATCTCACTTTGTTCTATGTTTTTGTTATTACTTTATTTACTTATTATCACATATAAAGTTTTTTATTTTTACACAATAGTTTATGATTATATTTTTTCTTCATTTTAAGATGCATTTTGCTATATTTTAGATGAATTATTATACTTTATATTGTCTATTTGTAACTGAACATGTGTTTGTTGATGAATGGATAGTAAATTATAGTATTGTTTATGGATACTTATTTATATTTGAAAATTTTAAAAACATACGAAAACCAAATTGATCAAAGAGTTTTGCTTTGGTAAATTACTCATAATAACTATCAAATTAACAATTATTCATAGTTGATGGTCAACTTTATCGACACGTTTTATACATGTTCAAAACATATATATTACATGATATCCACGAATATTTGAACAAATAAACAACTTTATATGGATATAAATTTTGTTCACCATTGTCGATACCGAAAATCCGTATCTTTCTCCACATTATACTAGTTACTTACACAACATGAAATTTCATACTCTTCACAACTCAAAAGCTCCATAGGGACTATGAACTACAACGAGAGAGCTAAAATTATAATCTAAATCATAAACTCTAAACCCTAACCCTAAATACTAAACTTTAAACATATTATGGTCACCGTAGTCAATACCAAAATGTCGTTGTCTTCCTCCACATCATACTCTAGTTTCTTATCTAACATGTAGTTCCTTACTCATAACGACTCAATAGCTCCATGTGGACTCAAAGTTACAACAAAAGAACTTTAAAACCTAAACCCTAACACCTAAAGCCTAACCCCTAAATCCTAAACCCTAAACCATACATTAACATAATTTAACAAAACTGAAGTAGAGAAATCTTATTATAACTTAAAGAAAAATACTTCATTTTGTTATTGTTTACATCAAAATATTTTTGTTTTATTTGCCCATCAAACTGTAACCACATGGATATATATGATCATTGTCTTCATAAAATAAATATTTGGGAGATGAAAACGAATCTAAAGAAAAACATTGGAAGATGAAGACGAATCTAAAGTGAAAGTAAATAAACGGTTTGGAAATAGATTTAAGGAGATACATCATCAAAGTATGAGCTTGCTTTAAGATTTGCTAAAGAATGCCAACTCCATATTCATAAAATCATATCCACTTGTGCATTATAACAACTGTGCATTATGTTCAAAAAAATATAATTTTCTTAATAATATTAAATCCACCTAAACTTATCCATATAGAGTATTTTTGAAGTTTTTGTAAAAAAAAATTTAAAATGGAACATAACAAAAGTAAAGATATAACAACATGAAAAATACATATAAAGCTGAGAGTTGTGATAAGAAAAATATAAAGTTGTGTACATAAAAATGTGAAGGAAAAAAAATAAAATTAGGAGTTGTGATAAGAAAAAAAAAATGTAGAAAAAATTGAGAAGTTGTAATTTTTTGGTAAAAGAAAAAGAGATGAAAAAGAAATGTTGTTAAGGGTTAGAATTTAGTAAGGGATTATATTGTCATTTTACATGCTAAAAGTATATGTATAGCACAAAGTGGGTATATGTGTGATTAAAATGTGGAAAAGTAGGTGTGAGTGCAAATATCTCGGTCAATAATATATTGAAGATATAAAAAAGACAAAAAATTACTTAAAAATGTCAAAGAGAAGTATTGAACCTTGGTTTAGGGGTGTCAAAACTAATCATATTTACCAACTGAACTACTATTATTATAACATAACAATGCACTAAAACGTATTTGGATATTTAACCTGTGTCATTTGACCCACCTTTTCTCTTGATGGGTCCGCCACTGGGGGCGGACCCACAGCCAAGGTGGTGGCGGCAGCTGCCACCAGCAAAAAAAAAAAAATTATTAAAAAATTATTAAATATTATTAGAAAACAAAATCTGTCCCCACCAAAAAAACTATTTGTCATCTTTTTTTTTGGAAAGCCCATTAATCCATGTACCAAAAAAATATATATTAATATATAAATTAAAGACTTACTAATCTAGACCTAATTTTTTGTTATTTTCTTCTTATTTAGTCATTTGGTTTCTTTGTGTGACAACAAATCAACAACTATCAATTTGTGAGTTTATTTTCCGGCTTTTTTACAATCGTTTCTATTATATAAGCATTATTTTTTAGTCAGTTAATTTTATTTAATCAGTTCAAGCTTATAACTATGTTTCCTGGAAAACATTATATAGGTTTTTATGTTATACATGACTATATTAGTTTTTGCAGTGATAATTGTTTATATGTTTATTCTATGGTTAAGCTTTTATGGAAGTTTGTTACATAATTCAAAAATTTTAAAATATAAGTCTATAAATTCAAAATTTTCTAAATTTTTAATTAATAACATGTTTTTTTGTTTTTAATTATTTGAATCTGTCACAAATGAAAATGTGGTAAAAAGGTTTCAATTGTTAAATGAGCGTCTGAGTGGTTTTGTAAGATGTTTTAAAGTTTTTACATGACAATTTTATGTCTTTTATAATTTAGTATTTGATAGTTGTTTTTACTATATTTTTGCCCCCATTGAACAAATTTTCTAGATCCACCCCTGTTTATATATATAGACTTCTCTCAATTCATATTATCTATTTTATTTAACAAACAAGACAACCCTCTCTATAAGTTAATATATACTATAGAATGATAAATATGAATAGATAGTTGAAATTAAAATATTATTGTCACAAAATTATTAATTTATAGAGATGTTACTGTATATTGTTTTTTTCTTAATTTAGAGTTTGAAAATTTAAAATTTAATTTTAGTTTTGTGGTATTTTTGTCCTAAAAACAAAAATGATGGTATTTTAGAGAATGGCCCATAAAAATAATCAATCTCCATATTAATTATATCACTTTTTATGAGTTAAAATTTAAAACTTATATATTTCCCGTTTCAGATGATATTTACTTTTCTTAAATCAATGGTATATATATTAGTCAATTCTTATATAGCTCCAATTTATAATCTTTCATCTCCTCCGCTTGTTTTTACAATGTCCGAAGTTGAAGTACCACCGCAGAGTGACAAGAAGCGTCACCGCGCGCGTGCTGCTACAATGTCAACAGCGCGCTTTCTTCTACAATGTCTGGGAGTGAAGAAAAACCATAGTTTCCAAAGATGAACTACCGCAAAAAGAGAAGACAAGTATGAGTTCTCAGCCATTAGTGTCATCACTCCCAGACGAACTCATAGAGCAGATATTTGCTCTTGTCCCGAGATGGGCTTACCCTAATCTCTCTCTTGTGTGCAAAAGGTTCCTCTCTTTAATCTCTTCTCCCCAACTCTACACGACACGTTTTAACCTTGGAACCACCGAACCATGCCTTTACTTTTGCGTAGAATCGATTAGGATTGATATATATCTCCAATGGTTCACTCTTTCGATGAAACCTCAAGAAACATGTGACGGTGAGATTTTAAATGACTATTCCGTGATTCGGATACCTTTTTATCCCCTGCCTTTACGTTCACCTTATAAATCAACTGTAGTGGTTGGTTCGGATATCTATTTAATTGGTGGATGGGGTGAGCTAACTTCCCCAGTTCAGATCCTTGATAGTCGGAGTAACACATGGCGTGACGGGCCTAATATGACGGTAGCTCGAAAAAATCCACAAGCGGTTCTCATCGGCCATAAAATATACGTCATGGGAGGTTGCGATATTGACAATTGGTTTGAGGTATTGGACATAAAGACTCAGACTTGGACAGCCTTGCCAAGTCCTGGTGCTGATCATGGGTTATGCAAATATTTTAGGGTCAACCCCGATGCTTTTGAAGGAAAGCTTTACGTAGCGTCAAGTAAAAAGGACTACACTTATGAGCCCAAAGATGGTACATGGAAAGTTGTAAGAGATGAATCAAGTTGTGGAGAGTTGTTTGATTCGTGTGTGATAGATAATGTAATGTACAGTTTTGGTATCCTGGGGAATATTAAGTGGTATGACTCTAAGGGTAGAGTGTGGAGAGAGATCAAGGGTTTGGAAGGAGTTTTTCCAGGTGTGAAACTGATCAGAAACTATGGTGGGAAACTTGTAGTTATGTGGAGTCAGCGGCCAGAGGAACATAGCGAGAACCGAAATGTTAGAATTTGGTGTGCTAAGATTGAGTTAGAGAAGCGCCATAAAGATGAGATTTGGGGTAAGACGGAGTGGCTTAATACTTTTCTAAAGATTCCCATGTCGTTTGGTAACACATTTCCTTGGGTAGCCGTTTCCATTCCCATGTAGCGGTTAAGAGTAATAGCAAAAACGTGTTGCATATATACATATATATATATATGTATATATTATATCATTATTTAAATTTATCACTCACTCAAGCATAAATCATATAGTAAAATTTATCACTTACTAATAAATGAACATAAGATAATGAAAATATCACAATCTTAGAGTTCTAATAAGAATAAAATATATAATAGTTCATACTAAATAAAAAGAAATTGCAGTACAAAGATCAATGAAAGGGAAAATGATGCAAAATAAAGCTTATTCGCACTTTGAAGTTTTGAACAACATGCATAGAATAATCTTTACAGAAAAGAAAATTATACGTTATCAAATACTTCTTTGAATATTCAATGATATCTGAACTAAGATATTGCCTCTCTTCACTTGCGTAAAAACCTTAGTTAATATACTTTTTATTAAAAAATAATAAAAATTAAAATACGTAAGCAATAATATACCTTGTAGTTGAGAAAACATATAATGATTTATTTTATCAACATCATCGTTTCTTGAATTAAGAATAACTCTTTTCCTGAAAAACACGTCTTTGTGCAAAAGGAATTACCGTAAATATCACCAACAATTGCTCGAATGGGATCCTCACATCATGTTATTAATAAATCTTCTGGTATATCTATTTCTACCTTACCATCATTAGGCTTATTGATTTTTCCATCACCAATATCGAGTAGCCATTTAGAAAACGTAATATACCTCGTAAGATATTACCTCTCTTCACCTGTGTCAAAACCTTAGTAAATCTACTTATTAAAAAAAGAAAAAAATTAAAGTTAAAATACGTAAATAATAATATACATGGTAGTTGAGAATACATATATTTATTTACTTTATGATAATTTTTTAGAAATGCGTCTTTTGGTGTACCCTTTTTTAATACCCTCATTTTCTATCCATTTTAAAAAATACCCCTTTTCAAATATGAAACATTGTAAACTTTTATATAGTTTATATGGTACATCTAGATCATCATTACTACTGAGAGACTCAATCCAAATATTAATAAAGTTTTAAAAGGTTCTAAACGGCATTTATAAGGCATTTATAAGGTTTTTAAAAGGTTTACAACGTTTTTATATTGTTTTTAAATAATTTTTAAGAGAAATTATTACTAATAACCTTTTTATGATACCTTTTTGCTAAACTACCCTCTGTTTTTGCCATTTTCATTTCTGCCCTCTCTTAAATTTTAAAGGTCATTTTACCCCTAGTTGAAAGTATATTCTTTCCCAAAGGAAGGACTATTCCTTCCAAAAATTTTCCCGCCAAAAAAATTTCCGAGAAATTTTTTTCCAACCAAAATAATTTCCCGCAAAAAAAAAATAATTTACAAAATTTTCCTGCCAAATTTTTTACAAGGAATTTTAAAGGTTTTACAAGGGTTTTTAAAGGGATTTACAAGAGTTTTAAAATGGTTTTTAAAAGATTTGTAACGGTTTTAAAGGGTTTTAGAAGCTTACAAAGGTTTTTGAATGGTTTTTAAATGATTTACAATGGTTTTTATAAGTTTATAACAGTTTTAAAAGGCTTTACAAGAATTTTTAACAGATTTTAAAAATTTACAAGGATTTTTAAAGGTTTTTTTAAAGCATTTACAAGTGTTTTTAAAGGCATACAGTGATTTAAAAATGGTTTTAAAAGGATTTACAAGGATTTTGAAAGATATTTATAAAGATTTAAAAATAGTTTTAAAGGATTTACAAGGGGTTTAAAGGGTTTTAGAATTTTACAAAAGTATATAAAGGGTTTACAAATTTTTTTAAAGGTATTACAAGTTTTTTAAAATGGTTTTTAATGATTTACAAGGGTTTTTAAAGGGTTTTAGAAGTTTATAAAAGTTTTTATTAAAGAATTTATCACGGTTATAAGGAGTTTAAAGGGATTTACAAGTGTTTATAAATATTATGAAACGATTTACAATGGTTTTAAAAGGTTTACTCAAGTTTTGAAAGGTTTTGGATGACTTTTTAGAGATTTACAAAGGTTATTAAAGGATTTTTAAAGGATATTAAAATATTTACAAGGTTTTTCAAAAGGTTTTTTAAGGAATTGTGGAAAAATTTTGGCGGAAATTTTTTTGTCTGAAATTTTTTGTCGGAAATTTTTGGCGGCTTGGCGGGAAATTTTTCGGAAGGAATATTCTTTTTGCTGGAAAAAATATTCCTTTCTTCATCATGTGTTATAATAAAGGAGGGTAATTTAGTCATTTTGTACATTGAAAAAGGTATTTTTGAAAATGGACACCTACAAAGGGTACTTGTAGAAATTGGTATCATAAAAAGGTTAGTTGTGCAAATCCTCCAATTTTTATAAGGTTTTTAAAAGGTATTTATGCGGTATTTTGTGAAATATATATATAAATTTACATACATATAAAGATAATTTGTGTCTATATATCTAAGCTTACACATATTTTTTTGATAAATATCAAATTTTTAGTGACTTTTTGATAAAATTTGAAAGAGGGGTATTTCTAAAAAGTAGTACTGGAAAAAGAGTATTTTTAAATTCTCCCTTAATTTATCAACGTCTTCGTTTCTTAAATTAAGAATAGTTTTTTTCCTAAAAAACACGTCTTTGTTGCAAAGTAATTACCATAAATATCACTAACAACTACTCGAATAGGATCCCCACGTCATGTTATTAATAAATCTTCTGGTATCTCTATTTAAACCTCACCATCGTTAGGCTTATTGATTTTTCCATCACCAATATCGAGTAGCCATTAGAAAACGTAATATACCTCGTAAGATATTGCCTCTCTTCACCTGCGTAAAATCCTTAGTTAATCTACTTAAAATATATTAACAGTAATGTACCAAGTAGTTGAAAAACGTATCTTGATTTATTTTATTAACGTCATCGTTTCTTGAATTAAGAATCGCTCTTTTCCTGAAAAGCACGTCTTTATTACAAAGGAATTATCGTAAATATCACCAACAATTGTTCGAATCCTCACATCATGTTAATAATAAATCTTTTGGTATCTCTATTTCAACCTCACCATAGTTAGGCTCATTGATTCTTCCATCACCAATATCGAGTAGCCATTTAAAAAACTTTTTATAACTCGTAAGATATTGCTTCTCTTCACCTGCATAAAGGCTTTAGTTAAGCTACTCTTTTTGAAAATATATAAAAATTAAAATACGTAAACAATAATATACCTGGTAGTTGAGAAAACGTATATTGATTTATTTTATCAACGTCATCGTTTCTTAAATTAATAATAGCTCATTTCCTGAAAAGCACATCTCTGTTGCAAAGGAATTACCGTAAATATCACCAACAATTATTCGAATCCTCCCATCATGTTATTAATAAATCTTTTGGTATCTCTATTTCAACCTCACCATCATTAGGCTCGTTAATTCTTCCATCACCAATACCGATATTGCCTCTCTTCACCTGCGTAGTTAATCTACTTTAAACAAAAAACTAAAATACGTAAACAATAATACACCTTGTAATTGAGAAAACATATAATGATTTCAACATCATCATTTCTTGAATTAAGAATAGCTATTTTCTGATGACAAAAAAAAAAAAAAGAATAGCTATTTTCTTGAAAACCCGGTATCCGTTGCACAGTGATTACCCTAAGGATATTTTAGTAATTTTTTTTCTGAGAGCAAACGTGAGCTCTCCGAACTACTCCTTTAATATATTAGATAGTTAACCCAAATATATATAAAAAACTTAACACCTTCAAAAATCAAATTTTTTAATGTTTATGTTACATTTGAAAAATATTTTTTTTATGGTATTTAAAAAAACAAACAAATTGTAGTACTTTTTGAAAATTTTTTAAAAGTGTGGTAAGAGAGGAAATTTCTCTTAAAATATAATTAAGCGGTTTTCTTACTATTAAGTATTAAAAAGTGTTTTATTACTAAGAACCTTTTATATTTATCTTTAATAAAAAAAATATTCAAGTAATTAATTAAAAATTTAGTAATAAATATTTAAGAAAGATTTGAGAAAATCTTTAAATATTTATAGTTTCGCCGACTTACATATATATAAGTAAAAAAAACTTTACAAGTCCTCTGTAAAACCTAGTTTAGTCGTTCGGAAGAAAAAGTAAACTCATCAATGGCGAAACTCAAAGTTGCTGGGACATGGGGAGGCATAATTGAGGTAGAACTCGAGAACTGGACTCTACATATGTTGAGAGACGAAGTCGCTAAGCGATCAGGACTCGATCCTGACTCAATCAAACTAATTTTCGCCGGCAAAATCCTTAAAGACGACGGCGACTCTACTCTTACGCTTGCCCGATTGGGTATTAAAGATAACTCCAAGATCCTCTCTAGTCGTGGAGCAGCTCCTGAAGAAGGCAAGTCGATCATGGCTGAAGAAGAAAGGTCCCGTCGTCTCTCTCGGGTCAAGTGAGTCTCTTTGATCATGATTTGGTTATAAAATTTGAATTTTTATATGTCTTGTTATTGTTTGCAAGAACCCAATTTGCTAATTCTGGTTTTGATTGTGTTCTGATTCATAGTGTAATAATCATCTGTGTCTTTGACCATGATTTGGTTATAAAGTTTGAATTTTTATATGTCTTGTGATTGTTTGCAAGAACCCAATTTGTCAATTCTGGTTTTGATTGTGTTCTGATTCATAGTGTAATGATCATCTGTGTCTTTGACCATGATTTAGTTATAAAGTTTGAATTTTTATATGTCTTGTGATTGTTTGCAAGAACCCAATTTGCCAATTCTGATTTTGATTGTGTTCTGATTCATAGTGTCATGATCATATGTGTCTTTGACCATGATTTAGTTATAAAGTTTGACTTTTTATATGTCTTGTGATTGTTTGCAAGGACCCAATTTGCCAATTCTGGTTTTGATTGTGTTCTGATTCATAGTGTCATGATCATATGTGTCTTTGACCATGATTTAGTTATAAATTTTGAATTTTTATATGTCTTTTGATTGTTTGCATGAACCCAATTTGCCAATTCTGGTTTTGATTGTGTTCTGATTCATAGTGTAATAATCATCTGTGTCTTTGACTATGATTTGTTTATAAAGTTGCGAATCTTTAAATGTCATGTGATTGTTTACAATAGCCCAATTTGCCAATTCTGGTTTTGGTTGTGTTCTGATTCATAATGTATTGATCATCTGTGTCATGGACCATGGTTTTGGTTCCATGTGCAATATAAAGTCTTGATTTTGCCGCTTCATATGTCAAGTATGTGTTTTCAGTATCTTATGTAGAGTTAGTCTGAGGTAGTAATGATTGGTGACTGTGTATGTGAATGTTGTAGAGCTGCAGCTACAGCTTTGGCCAGAAGACATGCTGATGGGTCAGTACCGATTGAAGACTATAACATAGAGCTGGAAGATCAGGGAGGTCATAAAGTACAATTTGGAACTGAGACTGATCAGAGGTATTTGCTCAAACAGGTTGGAATACGGAATTGTTAGCCAAGCATGCAGGCTAATGAAGTCCTTTTTATTTTCTTTTTGTTCTACAGTGCTGCAATGATGGGTCTTATGTTACACACTAAGGCAAAGGGTCTAATTGAAATGGAAATGTATTCTGATGCAGTAGAAGTGCTTGCTATGGCAGAGGTTAGTTGCTACTGCTGGGAATCAGTTTGTTTTGTTTCGATAATGTATATTGATTTTTGTTGCAAGTACGTTTTTGTTGTGTGAATGGTTCTGCAACAGCTTCCTGTTTTATTTCTGTTGTGTAGGAATCATTCTTGCTCTGTAATCCCAAGATACTTGAGGTCTTTTTCTTTCTCTCCTTCGTATAAATTTCAGTATTTAATATTGATCCTCTTGGCAAATTGGTTAAAAACTTATAGCACTGTTGTCTGAGTCTCTGGGCTGCTGAACTAACCTCATTTGTATCTTCCACATGACCATTATATTCTTACAGCTTGTTGACAACCTCCCTATGATGGAAATAGACATTGTGTGGTGCTATTTCTTGCTCAGGGACATCAAATGCCTTTCAGATGCTGGTGTTCGCCTTGAGAGAGCAAGGAAAGGACTCGAGCGTGCTCATGGAAAGGATCTTTCTCGTGTGAGACTCCTTCAAGCAGGTCAAAGTCCAGAGATGGCACTGTGAGTTCGTTTTCAAATGTTTTTTTTTTTTGTTTTTTTGTTGAGGAATACCTCAGAAATATGCCTATAGAGTAAATATTTTGTTTCTCTAATTGCTAGATATGTGAGATTGGAGTTACTAGAAGGTGTGGTGGCATATCACACTGGTCAGAATGATAAAGCCTTAAATGCACTTAAGTCTGCCCATGCAAAATTCTTGCAGGTTAGTAAGCTGCACCGGAATAAATTTCCACTTATTATTATTCATTTGTTACAAAGTTAATTCTGTTGTGCATTGTGAATCTGTGATGCAGCTACAAATTCCTGATGAAACACTGTCTCTAGTTATGGGTATGGGCTTCCTAGAGAAGGATGCTAAGAGAGCTTTGCGACTGAATAATCAGGATATTGCAAGTTCTGTTGATTTTCTTATCGAAGAGAGGGCAAAAAGAGCCCAAAAGCGGGAAGAGAATCTACAGAGACAACAAGAAATATAGTATGTTCTTGCTACTCAAATTATACTAGTTATGGTCTTTAACTCTGTAGTGACTTTATGATCTTCAAATATATTTCAGTGAGCAGAAAAAGTATGGAGTCACACCCATGAAGAAAGCTGTTGATATGCAGATGCTTAACAGGCTTGTCTCTATTGGGTAAGTAAAGTACTGTGTATACTTATACAGATTTCAAAATCAGAAAAGATATTTAAGATAAAAGGTAAACGAAGAACAAAACGATTATGTGAAAGTGTTGTACCTTTGAAGATAAACGTTGGTGTTTTTGGTGTTTGTTACAAAATCCTTCAAGCTCCAGTTATATTAACATGAGGCTTTTGCCCTATAACTAATAATATTTTTTCAATGCTTACGAGTGGAATTTTTTATTCAGATATGTGAATTTGAAACGTTTTAGATTGTTTTAAGCATTGAGTATACTTAAAAGCGTTTACTTTTGCAGATATACGAGGGAACTTGCTGCTGAATCCCTCCGGAGAAATGAGAATGATTTCCAGCTAGCCCTTGATACACTCACAAACCCACAAGTTAACTCGACAATACAGGCTTACATTGAATCGAGGAAAAGAAAAAGACAAGAACAACGAGTAGGCATATCAGTTGATGAACTTATGTCTATGGGCTTTGAACGGGGACAAGGTAATTTTCTTATCTGAGTTGTTTCTGCAGTTGCATAGTATTGTTAAAAGTCCCATGGTAAAATTTTTTGATGAAATGCCATTATGTGTCTGGTTTGCACTGCAGCAACCTCCGCTTTGCAGGTTGGTGGCAGCCGAGAAGATATAATCCAAAGGCTCCTACAATCTGCACCAGACGCAAACCGCACCAACAATGTGGGTGCGGAGAGCAGTGGTTTAGGGGGTGGAGAAAGCACATCCAATGAAATTGATGGTGGGGCAGAGCAGGATTCTGAGATGAATGATGGAACAAATGATGAGACTACAACAAACCAAGGAAGCACATCCGGGGAAGAAGAAGAAGAAGAAGAAGAGGAAGAAGAAGTGCGGGACACTGAAATAGAAGATGAAATAGCTCACGAAATCTCCCAAGTTGATTCTTTGTCGGCTTACGATATCACTCTCGGTAAGGAAATTGAAGCTATAAATGAGTACCTAGCCTTTCTAGATGCATCCCAGGAGTCTAGTTGAAGAGTGGATCATGCTGAAGAAAGTTGTAGATAAACTAATAAATTGCTCAACCGGGTTATTTGCAAGGCCAATCTGGGTTGGTATGCTAGTTATTACCTTGCTTATTATGGATGTTTAGTAGGATTTGCTATGCTAAGTGATATATAATCACATTATCTAGTTGCTCGTTGGTTAGGAATTTTAACAAACATTGGGATTATATCGATTTTTTATTGCAAACTTCTAAAATACTCCATATTTTAGAAGTCTATCGAATTTAAACTAATAAATCCGCGAGTGAGATTTATCTGTTTGGGTTCAATTTGATAATTTTTTTGGTAGGAAACAGCGAGAAAAAACTCCCTGCATTTTATTCAAAACATAAGAAATACTTGCCGTGGAAAACTAGTATCCCAGACATCATCCACAAGAATCGGCTCAACATCCATTGGAGCATGATCTAAGAAAAGAAAGCCTAAAAGTAAAGAAAATGCATAATTCGCCAAACCACCGGCAAGATGGTTTGCATCTCTATAAACATGTGAAAAACAGACTATCCAGTCCCTCGAAATAAAGCCGTGGCACAGATGTACCAGGAACGACAAAGGGTGAGAATCCACATCCCATGACGTTAAAAACCCCACTAATATCTCTGAATCAATCTCAGCTTTAAGCATTGGTATCTTCTTGTCCCAAGTGATGCAAAGGCCTTAGTAAACACCCAGAGCTCCTCTAAAGGCGCTGTACAAACACCAATATTGAGAGAGAAACCTCCACGCCGTGGCCAGACCCGGGTTGCCGTGGTACTCACCATCTGTATTTAGCTTCATCCAACCCCCTAGTGGTGGTTTCCATTTAATGTTACGCTCCATTCTCACACAAGGGATAGCTCCCGCACGGGCAATAGAGTGCGGTCGGCTAACTTCTCCGGCAAGATCCTTAACAAACTTGATTCTGTCCTGACATTTACCCGTTGTCCCAAATACATAACCACACCTCCACTTCCAGCTCCACCATACAACCATAACAAACAGTGTCAAGCATGCATAATCAGCACTCCCACCCGTTATTCCCAAATTCACGTACAACCATTTTAATAGAGTACTTGCAAAGAAACCCAAGCGACGCTCACTTGGAACAAGACGAGTCCAAATACCTTTAATGGAGGGGCAATCTCGCAAAACATGCATGATCGTCTCCTCACCTCCTTTACAAACCTGGCATACATTAGAATCTCCTAGGTGTCGTTTAACCTGCTCCACATTTTTCATAATAACCTGGTGAGCAACCATCCAAAGAAAAGTACCAACCCTCTCTGAAGCTAACACCTTCCAAATCCGATCAAAAAACTTGGACATATTAGGGCGAAGAACATGATCTTTGGTCAAAAGCGAGTAGGCGGATGCAACCGTGAACTGACCATCCGTTGTTCAACACCTCAATAAGCGGAGGAAAAGAAACTAACTAGGATTCCCTTAGTAACGGCGAGCGAACCGGGAAGAGCCCAGCTTGAAAATCGGACGTTCAGGTATTTTCTTCAATATTGCATGTAATGCAAATTATGAGAATTGTTACAATGACGATTCTATTACAAACAATTCTCTCCGATCCTATTAGATTCACCATAGATTACACCCTTTTCTGGCGACACCCTTTCTCCATGTGTAACACTTTCTCCATGTGGAGAATCACGGCGAACGGCTCTAATTAATAAATCGTACTATCTGGACGTTGAATCCCATATCTCTTGGTGTAAAAGCTTTAAACAACTCTTGGTCAACCACTAGACTAAAGGAGCTTCCACCAATATTCTTCATCCTAGTCCAAAGGGCAATGCTCGGTTCTGCCAATGTCTTTTATCCCATCGCCCTTCTTGTTGGTTGGCACTTGCCCTTGTAGTAGTAAGTCTTTCATCCGACCGGATAGGACGTTAGAGTCAATTCAATTGTTCATTGTATTGAAAGTAAAGCATTTGCTCCACATTTCACATGTAAACCTTCAAGATTTTAACTTTGGTTAATCCGATATAAGGATTATGGACAAGTTCCATTCATGTTCATAACTACTATTTTTTCTTCTCTTGGGTTGGAGTTCTTTTTTTAAAAAAATATCTCGGATTTTAAATGAGATGATGGAACATTATTTAACATTTAGGCGGTTTCATCATTATAATTTAAATGATAAATTATTCCAAAATATTGATAAAATTTTATTTTTGATATTTTTTCATATAATCTGTTGAAACTATGTTTTTTTCTTGTCGAGTTGAAATTTCGTTATCTTTAGTGTATAATATATATACAGCTAAAATTTAATATTAATTTATAAAATTAAGTAAATTATAAAATATATAATCTTTCTTCAAGGAATTTTGTGGGTTTAAGTTTAAGTAATCATAATATTGAAAATAATTAGAAAAATATTATAACAGCATGCATGAAAGATCCCACAACTCGGAATTAGGAGCCACGTGAGTTACCAACAAAGCTGTCCAAAACAAATCCAATTTCATATTTTAGATTCTCCATATTATTTAAATCAAACCCATTTTAAAGTACATATGTTAGGTTGAATTTCCAATCCACAATTGTCTTGTAACATGTGGTCGAACTGAATTTTGACCGAGTTTTGAGCGTCATTGGATTACATGTAATGATCAATATTAAATTTTGTATTTTAGATGTCAAAATCAAAATAATTTAAATATAAATAAGGGCAAAAGTGGATAGCTTATAAAACTGATAATTTGACCAAATATCAAAATTAACAAATGTTCCAAAATGAAATATTTATATATAAATAATATAGCGAGATTACTTTTATGCAATATATTTAAAAGTAAGTCTCTAGATTATATTGCATAACTAGTTCACAGATTATGGAATCGACTGTTTCAATATAAAGTCAACTTTTGTTATAACATAGGATTCGTAATCTCATAATACCATCATACTATGGTAGATTTATTGAATTAAGGAAAAATATAAAATCTTGTCTCCGCATTGTATATATTTGGCTTTTGCTTAACCCGATTTATCCGTGTTTTTCTAATACGTGATCTTGCCGTCTTACAACATGTAGATAAAAAACTAGGTCAACGAAAAATCCGATTATCGCAATTCACAAACTAGCCGAAGAATGGACATCACCTAGAACCATCAGCAGCATCCTTCCGACAGTTACTCTAACAACTACAGCTAGAGAAATAGTCACTTAGCTTCATTTTATAAGACATGACAGGAGTTATGTTACAAAGACCTAGAGGGGACATGTTTCGCATATACTCACTCTCCAGTTGAGGGAGCTCTCAACCAAAACAAACTCAACCGTTCGAGAGGATCCACGATTCTACCAAAACAATATACATTAGAACAAAAGTGAGCAATATACAAAAGTTATTTATTGGTTATGAAAGTAACTATTGGCTTATGCCTTTTAGGGATATATTTGAGTCTTTTTTCAAACCAATATATTGGACACACAGTCACTGTCCAATCCATATAAAACATATTATTATGTGATCAAATCTATTTTTTGCTTCTAAAGTTTAAGGTATGCTAAAATAATCTCTATGTAACCAAAAAAAAAAGCTGATTATAAACTTTATTTGAGAGACCGCACGACAAGAATCCATACATGTAACATATAAGACTATATTGTGGGAAGAAAAAAAACTAATAAAGAAGAATTTAAGAAACAAAAGAGTACGTTAACATAGTGGAGAACGTTGAGGAATGCCCTTTCGCCGATTGATGCAAGTGGAGATATCATCAGGATCCTCCGACACTTCTTTATAACTATTAGCCGATTTGGCACATAGACAGAACCCGGTTCGCTTCTTCCTCACGACATGAGTGGTAGTAGCAGCATAAGCAGCATAAGCAGCAGCTGCACCAGCGTTGTTGTTATCCGAGGAAGCTGAGGACCAGCTCATGGACTCATCACCGTCTAACACGGTTGATCGAGGAGTCTCGTAGGCCGCAACATCATCATCCGTTAGTAAGTCTTGTGGGATGATGTAGTCAGGACCTAGGGTTAGTGTGTGACATGGCTTTAGGAATGGGGTTAAGTCCCTGTAACGTTTCATTACGAAGTCCACCTACATGCATATAAACCAAAACATTTTAGCTATTTACATTTTTTTGTAACCTTCAAAACAATATGTATGTTTGTCCTAGTGCATTCTCACTATATTTTATGGCAAATTGATATTACAAAGTGAAACAATGAAGGGGTTTTAAGTGTAGTAGTGGATCTTAAACCACTTTGGACCAAAGCACTAGCTCACATGATATGGGAGTATTTATGCATATAAACATAGTTCCAAGTTCCAACGGCAAGGTCAATGAGAGGATATAATTAATAGAGTTATTCTAAAAAAAGGTTAGCCTCAACTTTTTATTAAGGTTATAAAATTTAAACATAATTCCAAGATAAACATAAGTTTTTTTATTTAATAATAATACATTAGTTTAAAAGGACAAGTTTTCAAAATCTAACCATATATTATAATTTGTTTACTATAAACGGATTATTTTAGTAACCCTTTTCTTTCTTGAGATTCTCATTTTCGGAAACTAACAAAATTTATGGGTTGAAAACATTTTAAGGGACGGTCAGGTTATATAAAAATAACAAAAAAAAAAATGTGACATGTTTGAAAAAATAAAAATTAAATAAAATCAGGGTATTATGTAGTTAACTTGTAATTACAGTATCCTATGCTGTATTTGTATTTCTATTTATGGACGAGTCAAAAGGGTTTTTTATTTATTTATATATCATAGAAACGAATCATCTCTAAAGTTCTTCAGACTAACATATAATATAGTTATATACATAATATAGATATATTATCATATTACAACCTAATATTTATGGTAAATGAGAATCTTATATTAAGCAGAATTGAGTAGTTTTAGAAGTAAAGATGAAATAACCTTACAACCCAAGGAGCAATGGATATAAGGTTCTTGAAGACTTCGGTCACAAGAAGTGCAATAGTTGCCAGCTCCTTTGAATTGTCTATTTTGTGGTCTCTTCTTAATGAACACAACTTTTGCACTATTTATTGTATAAGCCTGTTCATAATTCATAAACCCTTACCAATCAAATTATCTACATGTAATAGATACGAGATGAACATAAGAAACATTACTTACTTGAACGTTAGAGCAATCTATGAGTTTCTGAAGATCTTCAAGCCGAACAACGTCATGATACACATAACGACGAACCTGAAGGAGTCTATGGAATCTATGAGAAGGAACACAGTGAGGACAAAGGCTTATGCAACAATCAAGACAACACACGTTCCTCTCGTTCTTCTTCGCCGTCTCGTGGTAAGAACATCCCACGAAGAACTTTTCCGCGTATAGCGCATCCAACCATGCCGGTTTCTGAATTCCCTACCACACCATTTCCACAAATTCTAGATTAGTTAGTAAATAAAACAAGCTTAGATGAATAAAAACAACTCCATACCATAATTCAATTGTTTACTAGCTATGTCCACCATTAAAATCTATATTTAGTACTAAGGAATTGGGTTTGATGATTGATGATGATTGAGAATAGTATATATAGTAAAGAAACTTGATAGATTCACTACTTAAGCTTACATAGAATTGAAGAGATAGTTAAAACCTACCATGATGAGGAGACACAAACTCAAACTAAGCTTTGGGAGATGGAATACTTTGGCCACTACTCACTACAAAGAGTAATATTAGGAAGAGAAAGGGATTGATTAGGGGACTAGAGATGATAGGATTTATGGAGGATCACAAGGGAGAGAGAGAGATAGAGAAAACAAAGATAATTAAATTTGATTATTCCTCGGAGATATAACTCTTTTTTACACATTTTTAAAATATTTCATATATAAAAACTTGGTTTCTTGTTTATTAGTGTTGGTGAGATGAGAGATAAGAGTGGAGAAAAAAGAGAGGAACGTGGGAGCTGTTTCCGTGTCTCCTACTTTAAACATATTATTTATTTTGGTCATCTCCTTGGCTTAAGAGCTTAATTAGGTTAAACCCTCCGTGAGAAGCTCTTCTATATATACTTCTCCACAATTTTATTTATATTTTTCATCTAGCTACCAAATGAGAGTAGAGTAGATCATGAGTCCACTACTTAGATATCTAGATAGTCACATATTGGTGTTCATTAGCCAATTGAGGAAGAAGATAGATACATATATAACTACTATGAACTTATAACATATCATCGGTCCAAGCATTGTGAATATAATAGTATAGTATTGTCGTGTTAGATAGGCTTGTCATAGATATTTTATATGGTTAGTGATTCTTAAATTGATTAAATAAACATTGATATTGATTGACTAGTCAAATTATTGGCAGTAATACATTATAGTAGTGTTCAAAATAGAAGCTATGTAACCTACTTGGGCTAAATTCAGAAAAAAAAATGAACGTATCAAATCTTTGTAATACAATCCTTAAACCCTTTTAGTTTACCTTATAGTACTAATTTGTATTATAATTAAATAATTATGTTAATGTTATCTACTAAAAACTTATGTATTTTGGTTCAACCAATGTTAGATTGATATAAACTTAGACACCGTCATATTCTTGTTGTTGTGTGTATTAGTACTAAACTACTAATTAAGAACTTATTTTATGCCTGATTATTTAATATTTATCTGTCTAATAGGAGTAGAAATGTACAGAGCATATGGTTAATCATAATGGTAGTAATTAATAAATTACAATACCCAAGAAGAAAACATCAAGAAAAAGATTCTTCTGTCTTACGCCAACTTGTTCTATTATATTGTCATAAACGTCTAAAATGGTACCGGTAAAAAAAAAAGAAGTCTAATGGTACTTCTTGTTTAGGGCAGATAATTATATTTTATAGGTCACCGTATTGAGATTAATTAATCAAATTAAGGAAGCCTACTTTGCAAATTACAGTTTAACTTGATCTTCAAAATCTTAGATGTTCTACTAAATATTTTGAAACTATCGATTCTGCAAAAATAGTCAATAATTTCAACAATAAAACAACAGGAAACTATAGTTAATCATACAATGACTTGTATGATTTTAGTTCTGTTTCTTTCTTTCTTTAAGTTAAAATATATCTATATTAACGTTTTTGCAGCATTTAAAAAAAACCCTTTGGATTTAAACTTATTTACAATGGCACACCATTAGTATTAATTATTTACTAGGATTTAAGCCGCGCTACACCGCGGAACAATATTTGTATTTTAAAATTTTCAGATCAACAGTGGTTATACTACGATGGTTTTGCTACTTTATTATAAAAAATATTTTTGATCGTAGTGATATAGAGTTTGATTGATTTAAACAGAGTAGTTGCGGTTACACATGCATAAATTTACTAAAGCATAAGGTTTAGATCTTAACTTAATCAAATGTTTTAAATGATTAATTTAGAGGTTTGAGAATAAATGTGAGAATATATCGAATTTGATTATATATTTTTTAACTATGTTTTAGATAAATTATATATATTTCTAATGGATTTTTTGATTGTACGGGTAGCAAGACGAGACGCGTTTGAATTGATATTAATAAAAATTAAAATATCATTTATCTCATACTTCAATACGGTAAAATCTTTATGTTACTATTTTTAATAACACTAATATAGGACATATTTAATCAAAATAAATTAGTAAAAATAGATATTATATAATCTTAATAATTATTAAATAAAATCCAAAAATCTGTAAATTTTAGAAATTATGTATTAAAAATAAAATGTGTGTCCACCGCGGGTTAAAATCTAGTTTGATTTTGTTAATTTATGTTATAATTTTTGTCTAGTTTTCCTCCACTTTTGGCTACATTTTTGTTTATTTAATTAAATAGTTAATTTTTGTTACAGTATACATTAAGATGGTTTAAAAGACATCACTAGAGCGTGTCAAGGATGTTCTGGTATTCTTCCTTAATCTTGGTCTTGAACTCTTCAGGATAAAGCAATGGTCGCCGGGACGATGAAGGATCATGACTAGTGTCCCTGATTGGTCGGAATGGTTCATCGGAAGTGATTTCATGCATCTGATCAAACCGATAGCTTACTCGATCGGGTCAATAGCCTACTCGATCGGATCCGACATTAGCTCGATCGGATCCAACATTGGCTCGAACGAGTTTTTCCTATGAGTCTTCAGAGATATCTGTTTGAACTGAATCCTCCCCCTCTTGGACTTCACTGTCCTCAATGAGATTCATATATGGCTCCCTAAAGTTATTGCAATAGCAGTGGCAAATTCCTTAGGGTTCATGACAGACTTGCCTGGTAACTGCCTTGAAGAAGTGGAGGTATGTTTTTCTTCTAAGTGGGAAACCTTGGTGCTCACAGCTTCAAACTTCTGGTTTAAGTCATTATAAGAAGTAGCAATATGATTACGAAGCTCGGCCATCTTCTTAGTAGTCTCAAGGTTACCATTGGCCTGGCCTTGGAGAATTTGATGAAACATGCTTTGCAGGTCCTTTTCTGGAGGTACTTATGTAGATTGTTGTTAAAATCCAGGAGGATGAGCCATAAGCTGTTGATAACCTCTTTGATTTTGCTGCTTTGGAAGGAATACTTGATTCATTGGTCCATGAGCATAGGTCTTCTGTTGGAATTGCTGCTGTTGGGGGTGGATACACTTGGTCCTGTGAGTTGGCCCCATTGGTTCTCCTATAAGATAGGTTTGGATTTGGCTTATAGTTGTTGAAGCCCTTTTTATAACCACCCTGGTTTTGGATATAGCTCACTTCTTCTGTTGTAGCACAATCACCTTCTTGCGGTTGAAACAGCTCCTTTTCCGTGATGAAGTGAACACTCTTGGACTGACTAAGCAAGATCCTATCAAGTTTTTCATTCATTGCCTTCAAGTCTCTCTTATACTTCTCCTCTGAATCTGTACATCCCCGAAATGTGCGGTCATAATCCTTGTTGTAAGTTTCATCGGATTGAGATAAGTTCTCAACTAGTTTCCAACCCTCTTCAACAACTTTGTTCAAGAAATTTCCATTGCTAGCAGTATCTAAGAGCATACGAATCTTGGGTAGGACGCCTCGGTAGAACTTGCTCAAGAGAGACTCATTAGTGTACCCGTGTTGTGGGCACTGAGAATGATAAGACTTGAACCTTTCCCATGCTTCACAAAACGTCTCTCCATTCTTCTGGCTGAATCCGAAGATATCATTCCATAGGCGAGCTGTGCAAAAATTAGAGAAGATTTTCGAAAGGAAAGCTCGCTTCCAATCTTCCCATGCTGTAGTAGAACCGGCTGGGAGTGCTTTCTCCCATTGATGAGCCTTATCCCCTAGAGAGAATGAGAAGAGGCATAATTTGAACCTTTCTTCGCTAACACCGTTGATCTTGGTGAGTTCTCAAGTGGCAAACCATGAAATTTATTCCTCTGGATCATTGATTACAAGCTGCTCTTGATCTCGAAGTTGTTATTCTGAACCGCAGGAGGAACGATCCCTTAGCGCTGAGTATGATTCCTTGGAGCATCCCTTGCTCCAATCCTAGTTGGTTCCCTTTGTAGAGGATCCATTATTGCTTCTTGCTGGACTACCCTTAACTGATTACGTTGCTTACGTAGTTGTCGCGGCAGACAATCGATATAGTTGAGGTAGGTGAGCAGACTCTGATTTCCTTTAGAGCGAGTGTGCATAAACTTAACCAGAGGTGAGACACGATCGAGCAAGAGCAGACTCGATCAGGTTTGGTATGACTCGATCGAGCTGAGTGGTCAGGCTCGAGTTGTGTTAGACAGGTACCTTAGATTCAAAACAGACAAGCAGCAAAGGAAGAATCCAGTAAGGGAATTTAAAAGAACTTGATCTTGTAAATGCTGAAATCCTATTTGTTACTAATAAACACCCAAATGGTAGCGGCGCCAAATTGAAACAGGTTTTTTTTTAACGTGTCACTCTCGAGGCAAGTCAGGTCAATTCCTCAGTAATTGTAGTACTTGAGGCATCGAACCAAATGAGTGGTTGAGCAAGCAACTAGGATATGATCAGAGATAAATAAGTCAAGCCAGATATATTAGATATTGAATATAGAAATCATAATACATAAATGAATCTAAAGAGTGAAGAACTATTGAAAGCAAACTATAAAGAACAAACTACATAACGATAAACTAAGATGCAAGAACTAAGCAGAGCAGAAATGAAACAAAGATGTGATGGAAATCAATCAAAGATAAATAGCTTTCCAAGGAATAAGGTAATCAATCTATGAATCCTCCTAATCTCTATGGGGTACTCAATCAAAACACAAGCAGCGGTAATCCCAACATAAAGCTTCTAAACCTAACCAGCCCAATCCCTTAGTGAAGATTATCAAACTCATTACACTTCCTAAGATCAGATCCCTCTGATGAAACATGCAATGAATAGGCAGTAAGAACCAGCTTAATCATGTTAAAACATCTCCTAGAAACGTATCCCTAAGGCTAAGACAATGAATCTCAAGCATTAGTTATTCAGGCATTTCAGCAAACACCTTCCAGGGTGGAAATGCATGAGATCTAATTCCAGTTGATCAGAAAGAAATCAGCAATAAGATCACTAATCCAGAAGAGATCTACAAGATTCTAGCCATAAACACCCCTTGGAAACTAGGATCCAAAACTGATATCCCTCATCCCTAAAGCTAAGAACACTACTCAGATCTGCAAATCATTGTAAAAAGTTGAAACCCAGAAAACTCTAAATCTTGCATAATCAAAGAGATAGTGATATGAGGAGAAAGATAGTACAAAGAAGCAACAGCAAAAACTCTATAGATCAAGAGATAATAAGATTAAAAAATTTCTGGAAAGTTTGGTGGCTACAAAGAAAACCCCTAATGAACACTCGATCTTTGTTCTTAATGACCAATGGTACTTATTTATAGTGGGTTCTCAAAACCCTAAAAAAAAATGACAAAATACTAAGTCGGTCTTAAATGAGCTCTATCGGGTGCAAGCTGGGCTCGTTCGGTCCATCCAAGCTTGGTCGAGTCCAATGCCTTAGCCTTGAGTCTCGAGTCTGCTTCTCTTATCCCATCCGATCACTCGGTCGTGTTCTCCTTGGTCGCGTCCGGTACACTCGATCGGGTTAGACTCCTTGAAAGCTCAAAACGTCTCGAATGTACCTGTTTTAACTTCGAAACGCACAAATATGTAAATGCCTATACTAAATCTCCTAAAAGTGCAATATGAAGGAAAATATACTAAAATTCATAAGAAACATGACTTAAACTATGCAAACTGTGCACAAAATGTATGCTTAAGAATGTGAAAATATAGAGTTATCAGTAGATAATTTATATTTTATAAGTCACCGTATTGATAAGATTAATTAATCAAATTAAGGAAGCCTAGTTTGCAAATTACAGTTTAACTTGATCTTCAAAATCTTAGATGTTCTACTAAATATTTTGAAACTATCAATTCTGCAAAAATAATCAATAATTTCTACAATAAAACAAAAGGAAATTATAGTTAATCATACAATGACTTGTATGATTTTAGTTCTGTTTCTTTCTTTGGGTTAAAATATATTTGATACAATTTTGTTAACTTATGTTATAATTTTTGTCTAGTTTTCCTCCACTTTTGGCTACAGTTTTGTTTATTTAATTAAATAGGTAACTTTTGTTACAATATACATTAAGATGGTTTAAAAATTAGTCGTATGCGTTAATAGTACAAACTATTAAGCTATTACTACGATTACTTAAACCATTTTACCTAGACAAAATATAAGAAATTTTGAACTAAGATCAGATGTTATTAACATGTTAACTGCAGTGTATAAGTTTATAAGAATATAAAATTATATTATCTCACGAAAAATATTTGGGTGAACCACTCTTGTCCACCTCCTCTTAATTAGCCAATCAAAATACAACAATATGTCACATTAGTTTATTTAAAAATTAAATCAAAAAAAAAAAAAATTAAGGAAATTAAGGAAACAAATTCTGTAGGATATTTATTAGGGAAGTATATTTCAGTTTGGATTGACAAGTTAGTGATTAGGGTAAATATTTTTTAAACTGACGAAATTATATTTTCGCTTGGATTGATAAAATAGTGGTTAGGGTTTTGATTTTTGAATTAAACGAAATTATATTTTGGTTTGGATTTAGAAAAGAGTTGTTAGGGTTTGTTTTATTTTTGATTTATTTTTTAAATATAATATGACATGACATATTTTTTTATTTTGATCGGTTAATCAATAACGGGTGAACCTAAGTATTGCTCGTATTTCACCCAAAGTACTAGCTAGCTATCTAATAAAGTTAGTTATGGATCATCACCTATTTAGTAAAAGAGAAGTACACTTTTACATAGATGATGATGGGTCGGGTCAAAATTAAAAATTAACCCAAAATTAAACAATTAGATACTTCCAAATCGGATATTTAACTAGGTTTGGACATAAATTGGATACTTTCCCAGCATATTATATTATTTCTATATCTAGATTTTTGATTTCCTAATGTTTCTCTAACTAATTTAAAATAATAAATTAAAAACATTTATTACTCTCTTTTCACCTATATTTGATCTTGTTTTAATTTATTATATTAAGTATATAATAAAAATATAGAATAACAATTCTTCTCTTGTTTTGAATATATTGCAATTTGAATTTTTCCAAATGGATATACTTTAATTAATTGAGAAAGAAAATATAATTATAAACTTAAAATCTTATTAAAATAAAGTTTGGATATCTAAAACCGGTTGGTTAAATATTTTGGTTAAATTTAAGGAGGTTGGTTAAATATGTTTATGAAATTTTATATTATACTTTATTGATAGAAAAAGGTGTAAGACATACCACATCCGTTAAAAGTTTTGGGAAATAGGTTTAAATCATTATAAACATGACCAATATACTTCTAACTATGAATGAGTATGATGTTTAACTTATTGGGGTTTTGTATTTTATTTTTTTATTCAGATTAATAAAGTTTTTTATTTGATCATATAAAAAATTAAAATTTTTAAAATATGATAATTTAAAATGTTTCAAAAGTTTCAGAATATTATAATTTTAAAAATTTTTAAAAGTTTAAAATCTTTTAACACTGAAACCTTTAAAATATTCAAATATAAAAAAAATTATAGAATATTAAAAATATTAGAAACGTGTCAGAATATTTTTGCAACGGGTCTGAACATGATACACACCACTTAAGTTTTCCAATTAAATATTTTGTAAGACCAAATATTACATATATTATATGCAAAACTGTTCATTTTTACAGGTTTTAAAGAACATAACTAAATCAAATTTTAACAATGGTACATACGAAGTCTTAAAAAATATACTATTCAAATATTGATTAAAATCGAATTTATAAAACGAATAAGTTTTGCCGATAAACTAATTATGTATCAAACTATATAAATCATAGGTAATCAACTTTATTTATTTAATACAGATTTATGCACTAAACATACTCGCTAGTGTTTTTGGATAATATTCAATACCAAGTTATTAGAAAACTTAGTTACAAAAATAGCAAAATCATAATATAAAAATGATATATTTGTAAAGAAAAACATATCATAATATACATTTGTATCACGTAGTAGGTTAAAACATATTAACAATAGCCCGATAACTTTCCCAAAGTTTCTTTTTCTACCCTCACTAATTTGCATGTGTATGAATCAAAATAAAGGGTGGAATCGTTAATTAACAAATCACGAAAGATCCAATGGCTGAGAAACAAGACAAAGAAGAGTTGGATGGTTCAGATAGTTTTTGACGCGCATCAATGATAACCGCGAGAGATCTAACGGCTGAGAATAGACCAATAAGTGTTTGACGGTTCATATAGTTTTTGACTCTGATCGATGGAAATCACCGCAGATTTAAGACGATCCAACGGTTCCTGTTATTAACCTAAATTTTGTTTTTTCTATTTATTTTTGAGCCGATTTCGAGCTCTTCATCCATCTCTCAATCGGAATTAAACTCTTCTTATTTTATCTTTCAATCGCAATTTCCCCCGAGATCAAACTAACCATGGGTCGAACCAAAAAGAGGAAGAAGAATAAAGATAAGGAAAAGCAGTTCCAGTGGTAAGATTTAATGGATTGCTTATTGTGTAAGTGAGCCAAAATTAAATGTAAAATGATTTTGAAGGTTACACAAGATGAAGAAACGGTTCTTTTCTTGGGCACAAAAGCATC